TGGACAGAGCCAAGGTTTCAGGAAGGCACAACACGCCCCAGCTGGGGCTCCGGGTTCTAACCCCAGCTCCCTGATTCACGGCGAGAAGCCAGGCTGTCTCGGCCCCAGCTTCACACTCAGCCAAGCAGGCTGGCTGCCTCTCATCAGCAGGGCCATCAGGACAATCGGGGCATGCAGAGAGCAGCTCAGGAACGCTGGCTCTTCGCTGCTTTCATTGTCCTCCCTGACATGGTCCCCCAATCCTGCTCCGACCCATCCACAGGGCAAGGCAGTCCAAGTTCCCAGTGTGAAATAAGATGCACAAATTAATAAACGACATCAAAAAATAAAGAAATGAAAAGCGGCCGGGCGCGGTGGCTCACGCCTATAATCCCAGCACTTTGGGAGGCCGAGATGGGTGGATCACGAGATCAGGAGATCGAGACCATCCTGGTCAACATGGTGAAACCCCGTCTCTACTAAAAATACAAAAATTAGCTGGGGCCGGGCGCGGTGGCTCAAGCCTGTAATCCCAGCACTTTGGGAGGCCGAGGCGGGTGGATCACAAGGTCGAGAGATCGAGACCATCCCGGTCAACATAGTGAAACCCCGTCTCTACTAAAAATACAAAAAATTAGCTGGGCGTGGTGGCACGTGCCTGTAATCCCAGCTACTCGGGAGGCTGAGGCAGGAGAATTGCCTGAACCCAGGAGGCGGAGGTTGCGGTGAGCCGAGATCGCGCCATTGCACTCCAGCCTGGGTAACAAGAGAGAAACTCTGTCTCAAAAAAAAAAAAAAAAAAAAGAAATGAAAAGCAAAGTCTAGAGCGGGGGGCTGTTCCAAGAGCGCAACAAGGAGCCTAGCCTTCAGGGAGCCAGGGGAGGAGCCTGGCAGGGTCTAGGCAGGTGAGTGACCGGCCCAGCCACGCAAAGGCCCAAGGGTAGGACCTTGCCTGGAGCCTTGGAGGAACGGTGAACGGCCAGGAGGCCCAGCAGGGAGGCCCATGTGGCTGAGCAGAGTGAGGAGGGCGTGGGAGGAAGTAGGGGACGGAACAGGAGAGGCAATGGGGTCCGGGTTGGGGGCTGTTCTGAGGGGGGCAGGCCTGTGGCTCACTTTCTATCCGAGAACATTCCCAATTGCCATGGGAGGGGGACCAGTGGGCAGAAGCAGGGCAGGAGGCTGGAGCTGGCGGGCAGGTGGGAACTGGGCTGGACGGGGCTGGGGGTCACAGGGGACAGGAGAAGAACCAGTGGGACATGGGGGTGGCTGCCAGCAGTCCCTCAACAGGTTAACAGTGGGCTCATCCCTCCTCCTCGACCAGGTACGAGTCCCCCGAGGCCAGTCCCCATTCCCCACCCACAGCCATGGGAGACCCCAACAAGCTGAGTGGGTCAGACCATCCCGCACACGGACAGTGACACAGGACGGCCATGCCCATCCTGTCTCCCAGTGCACAGATGGACGGAGGGTAGGTCTGGCTGGGTGCTGGGCCTGGCTGGAAATAGCTGGCGGCCACTTGCCTCCTGTACCCCTCAGTTTCCTCAATGACCCCAAAAATAACACCAGAATCTGAGACCAGGAAGAGCTCCCTGGAACCTCAGGGGTGCTGCAGCTCTGGGGCAAGGAGGGTAGCCCCAGCCTTCCCTGGGCCCACCGTTCTCAGCCCAGCATGCTCGGGTTCCAGCTTCTGCCGCCCGCACCCAGGCTGCTGTGTCCCTCCTCCTGGGTGCACCATGCTCTGGCCACAATGGACTCCATTCAACCTCATGAAAGAGCCTTCTCTCGCCTTGGCCTCTGCCCTCACTGCCCTCTGCCTGGAACACACTCCTCTGCCCCTCCTCTCTGCCTGGCTTCTTGGGAGTCACCCTCGGGTCTGGAATGGAATGCTGCTGCCTCCAGGAAGCCTTCCTGACTGCCACCGCCTTACAAATGTACAGTAAATGGCTCCTACTACTGACAGCTGCCCCGAAAGCCCTCCATCTGCTATGAGACACCTATCACTGGCACTGTCTTGTCACCTGCTGTGCTGCACCTGAGCAGGGACCATGCTACCCTGCTTGCAGCCTGGGCAATGCTGGTCCAAGGGCTTCAGAGGCTGGATGAAAGGCACACATACCTCTGCACAGCACAGCTACACTGGCGGCTCTTGGCCGGTGCAGGCGCTACCTGCCTCTGGGGGCGTCTAGAGCCACGGAGACAGGGACTCCACTCCGCAAGGCAGGTGGGTGGGCAGGCAGATTCCTCGGGGTGCCCACTGCGGGCTGAGACCCTGGGGAGCAGCTCTGTGCCCAGCCAGCGCATCCTTCCTTCTGCCCTACAACTCCTGACAGCCTCTACCCCCCACATGCCCTGACAGGAGGCTCAGGCCCCCTAGTCAGAGGCGGAGGCTGGGCAGGGGTGGAGCTGGCTCTCTCGCTGAGAGACAGGACAGGGTCTCCAGCCTTCACGAGGTCCTGGATGGAGCCTCTGCTCAGGAGTAGAACCCAGACGGCTTGGGAGGAGGAAGGCGGGCTGCTGTGTGACCTTGGGCCATTCTCCGCACTGTTCTGGGCACGGCCCCTCCCCACACAAGCACCTCCCGATGGAGCGGATCATCTGTAGCCCGAGGTCCCCGCAGCCCGCTCTGCGGCTCTGTCACCCCCTCCCCCAGCCCGGCATTCCACGCCTCGTGATTTATGGCTCCTGTCCGCCTGGTGCGGTCTCCATCCTGGAGCCGGCTGGCGGCTCTTCCGGGGAAAAAGACCAGAGAGCGGTGGGCCTCACGGCGGCCAGTGGGTCACAGCCAGAGGCTGGGGCGAGAGGGAACCAGTGGAGCCGAGTCCTCCTGAGGCGGCCCCCAGCAAGGCCAGCACCACAGAGGGCACCCTGGGGAGGGACACAGCCCAGGGTCAGTGTGGGTGTGTGGATGGCATCTCGGGTCCTCAAACCATGCGGACCACTGCTTCAGGGCCAGGGTCTATGCTCTGAGAACCCAGGGGGCCCCCTGAGAGCATGGGAGTCCAGGGAAGGGGGTTCACCTGAGGGAAGTACCCTTCAAGGCCCTGGGATGGGGCGGGAATCAGTGGGTAGGAGAGGCAGGGCGGGGTTGGCCTCTTTGTTCTGAGCCGCCAGCAGAGTCATCCTGGTGTAGACAGGGGAACAGGCTCTCCCGGAGATCAGGTGACCGGGGTCCCTGGGGGCTCAGGGCACAGCGAAGCATTGTGGGGCGGAGCGACTGGTCCCTGTGCAGGAAGGAAGCCGGCCAGCCCCGTCCCCCACCCTGCACCAAGCCTGCCCTGCCGCTCCCGGGAAAGTCCAGCCTCCCTGCCACCCAGGTCCTTCTCAAGACCCGACCTTCAGGGACAGCCGGCTCTGCCCAAAAACCCGGCATGGGGAATAGCTTCCCTTACGAGGGAGCAAAGGCAGGGACAGTCAGCCTGAAGGAACTCAGGCCAAGGCCCGGAGTCCCACAGGACAGGTGCTGCTGGGCCAACCTGCTCCGTGGGAGGCTGTGCTAGATACCTCCTGCCAGGAGAAAGGTGGGGGCGGAGCCTCACTGAGAAGGCGGAGCCTCAGGCTGGAGGGCGGAGCCTCAGCTGCCCAGGCACCACTGGCAGTGCCTTTCTCCCTCCTTCACCTCCTCCATCCTCACCAGGAAGCACAGCTCCTCCAGCCTAACCTCACAGAGTCCCAGGGCTGTAGGCGGGAGGGGAAAGGCAGCCAGTACCCCCTCTCCCCACCCCATCAACCCCACCTCCCAAAGCAGAGGTGAGGGGGCCAGCTGGCACCCAGTGGACTGCATAGTGCCAGAGAGGGGCCCCCAGGCCACAGCAGGGGCCAGGCAGTTCGCTGGGTCAGCAGGGTGGGAGGGGCGTGTACAGGGCTTCTGAACCTTGAAGCCTTGGTCCTGTTCCCTGCTGCATGCCCACGCCTGGTGCGCCTGGTGCCCATCACGCACCCACCCAGCAGGCACTCTGATGTTTACTGCATGAAGGAAAGAGTGGGGGCAGGGGAGGGGAGGCAGGAAGAAGAGACAACGGAGAGGTCTCCAGGCACGGAGGGTCCTGGTTGTAAACCAAAGCTCCTCAGGGCATAGGTTCCGCTCACTATCTGGGAGTCCCAAAGGCTATACTCTCTCTGCCCTGTGGGCTGGGGCTGCTCAGGCCTCCCTGGCCCTCAGCTGGGGGCTATGGCTGAGGCAGACATTCCTGCAGCCTGGCAGTGATTTATGGCTCCTGTCTGCCTGGTGCGGTCTCCATCCTGGAGCCGGCACCTCAGCGTCCCCCTGAGCCCACTGACCAAAGGTACTCGTGCAGGCTGCAGGCAAGGACCCACAGCCTGCGGGAAGGAGGGAAGGCTGATGCCCCTGTCCAGCCCCCTTTCCGTGGGGAATAAGCAGGGAAACCAGGCTCCCAAGTGGCCCTGGCAATCACAGCCTGGTGTGGTCCCTGCCTGCGCCACAGCGTCTGTGTGAGCAATGGACTCCGTGGGGGAGGGGGTGAGGTGTCTGAGGTTGGCTTATAAAAAGGGATCCAGCTCCCAGCTTGGTGGGGAATGCTCACTGCCCAGGGCGAGGCAGCCACCAGGCAGATGGCACTTGGGCAGCCTGTGCAGGGGGACACACGGTGAGGACCCGGGGACTGTGGCCCAGAGCCAGTGAGGAGCTGAGGCCTGCCAGACACCACACCAAGGATGTGGCTGCAACAGCCCCGGTTGAGCCTCCAGATGAGGTAGCTCCAGCCTGACTGAGCCTCGTGAGAGCCCCTGTGCCCCAACGTTCCACAATGCGGCTCACAGGTTCCGAGAACTAACAGCCAGCCACTGCTTCCAGCTGCTCCACTGTGGGGTAACATGTAACACACCAAGGGATGAACAGTATCAAAGATGGTCCCTTTGCTTCCCGGGAAGAACACCCTTGCCACTGTGGCTCCCCGCCCTGGCTGCGCCACACAGGACATCCCTGGAGGTCAGCCGAGTCGCTCGGCCGGGTGGGCCTCGGTGAGACCTCCAGGCGCAGCCTCCCCGGGGCGGCAGCCACTCACCTAACTCAGTGGGCTTCAGCAGCTCGTCCAGCATATTAAAGAAGGGCAGCTTCACCAGGCGGACTTCTGGCTTGAGGGTCTTGGCGGGCAACCGTCCCAGTCCGTTTAAGTACTTCCCGTAGAGCACGGGGTAGTCAATATTGGGGCCTGCCAGCGGAGTCCTGGGCACGGCGCTGGCCCGGTCATAGGTGGAGTGCATGGTCAGGGGGTCCAAGGGCCGGTGCGGCTGCGGGACAGACTCCGAGTTCTTCTTGTAGCGGGTCTCGTACAGCTCCTTGATCTTCTTGAACAGCTCTGGGCTACAGTCAAACTGCACCAGCTGGAGGGCTCTGGTGACGAGCTCGTGCTTCAGTCCGCTCTTACTCCGGCCCACGAAACCCAGGAGCATCTGAAGGTCGGAGACTCGAAAACTCATCACCATGTTCTGAGGAAGAGCAACAGACACATACTCTCAGAGGCCAGAGCTGCCGAGGCAGGGGATGCCACGGAGGCCAAGCCCCGACATGGGGGCCTGAGAAACACCCACTCGCCAGGAAGTGCCAGCCTTGGCTGGTGCTGGTGGCGTGCCCTGCCCCTAGGGTGCCCCCCCAGCAGAGCCCCGCCCCTCCCTCCTCCTCATCAAACTTTCCCCAGCATCGCCAACGCAGCGAAAGTGCCTCTGACTAGGCCCCCCTTCTATTTTTGGTTCTCTTTCCCTGTCTTCAGCCTGAAAGCATCCCCGGGGCAGGAACTGGAAATCATGCTTTAAACCCCCTCTGCCGTTGCCTAGCCGGCAAATGCCAAGTGTCTCTCTGACCGTCAGTCTCTTCATCGGGGAGATAACAACATAAAGCACGGCTGGGCAGGCCCTCCACCCACGTCAGCCACAAACACGCTTTCTTCGTTCTCGCCGATGGCAGCCACAGTTTACTCAGTGCTAATCACCTGCCGGGAACTCAGCCGGTCACGTGATCATAGATTTAACTCTGACCCTGAAAGCACCTCTGCTGGCGAGTGTGAGTTCTGTCACAAACGAGGAACTGCCGCCTTAGGGGCAGCAATGACAAGATTCAGACCGAGGCCTGGCTCTGACACCAGGGGCGGCTCCTGCTCCCACACTACCCTCCGGACGTCAACTCGGGGACCTCCGAGACGTCAGCTCATCGTCCCATGTGAGGTTTTTCCCCTTGACCCTGTGGACGCTGGGGCCGTCCTGGGCACTGTGGGGTGCTAAGCACCCCCCAATTCATGACAACCAAATACATCTCCAGATGTTGCTCGGACTCCCTGGGGGGCTGGTCTGAGGGGAGGGCGGCAGCCGCAGGGCTGCTGCAGGACCTGGCTCTCCTCTCCCGGCAGGGACTCTGCAGTGAAATCAAACCAAACAGAACCCAGCTGACTCATGAAGGGTTAGAACCCTGAAGGGGAAGGAGGGCTCCTCAACAAGCCGCAGAAGCCAGGTGTCCTCGAAGGCCGGCTGGCAGGGTTTCGGGGCCATCCACCCTCGGCCCGGAAGCCGGCCTGGGATGAACGAGATGTGGCGGGAAAAGAGAAACTTCCTGGAGGAATGGGGAAAAAGCTGGTGTCAAGGGTGCTGAGGAAAGCTGACGGGCCCCGAAGAAACCACTCACTCAAACTACTCTTCAAAGACCCTGAGGGGCGAAGCTAGAGGCAGCCTCACTGGGCAGTCTACACCACAGCCTCCGTGCCAGGAGGCGAAGGGGTTTCCGGCTCCCAGCTGCCCAAGGGTGAGGCCAGGAGCCCAGCAGCACATTTCAGCAGTGAGGCTGCAGCAGCCCCGGCCCACTGGCAGAATCCTTATCTATCAGCTGACATTTCTTCCAGCTGTACCAGGCCAGGGTCCTGCTGGAGACGGAGAGGCTGTCCAGGCTCAAAACGACAGGGACGCACGTGTGGGTGGCCCAGTCTTGCCCAAAGAGCCTGAGGAGAACCCTCTTCCCTATCAGGGATGCGTGACCCCGCGACTGTAAAGAATTAGGGACACAAGTGTCTGCTCCCTGCCAGGCACCAGCAGGGCCTTTCTGGGTCGCCAATTTCACAATGACCACACCCATCGCATAGGTGAGGAAACCGAGGCTCGCAGAGGGAAGCGGCTGGCCCACAGCCTCCCCAACACAAGCACGGAGGTGGCATCGGTCCCTGGGACCCCTCCTTCACCAGCACACTGGCTATTGGGACCTGCGTGGTCTGCTGCGCCTGAGTCAGGGATGCTTTGCAAACAAAAATGCCTCATCTCTCTTGGCCTGACTTCCTACCTTGTGCAGAAACCAAAAAGGCTTGCGGACAAGATGTTTCTTCTGGAAGCTGCCCAGGCCTTAGCAAGGAGAGGCGATGTCATGTGGACACTTCGCACTGGCAGCCTGGCCGAAGGCAGGTAGGCTTGGGAACCCGCTGACATTCTGGCACCCCGGGAGCCCCCACCCCGCCCAAGCTGGACAGTGGAGCTGCATCTCCTGCTTCCCAGAGCACACCCCTTAGGCAGCCATATGTTCACAATTCAGATTTCCCAGCAGCTGCCACCTCGGAAGAGCCTGCCCTGGGCACTGGAGGGGGGCAGGAGGGCACGCATTCAGGAAGAAGCCCCCAACACTCCGAGATTGCTTCCTGCCCTGGCTTCATCCTGACCCGCCTGCCATCAAAGCTGTGTTTATAAACAGCGCCAGGCCCCGGCAGCTTCCAGAGCTTTCCGAGTTTCAACTCCAGGCTTGCCTGGAAGCCTCGTGGGGAGACATCAGCAGAAACACAGCAGCTGCGCTGAACCTTTCCTCCAGTACGGGGCCCTCGGAACACCGAGCACTGGGGGAAGCTCAGGAAGGCGCCTCTCTCCAGAAGAGCAGAGATGTGTGCTGTGATAACAAGCCCCACCATTCACCCCCTCCGAGCAGTCTGTGAGGCACCCCAAAAGACAAAATCTGCAGCCATGCATATGACAGGCTGGGGAAGGCCCCTGTAAAAAAAAGGGGATGTGTTTCGATGACATTTAAGGCATTTGAAGGGATAGAAACAGACTCAAGGAGAAAGAAGGCTCCTCAAGGTCCCGCCCCCTTGAATGAAGGCTCGCAATTTAGAGTCTAAAAGAAGGGGCAAACTTGATTTAACTGGGGGGGGCGGGGGTGGGTACCAGCCACCAAAGGGTCAAGGAAAGTTCCTCAGATCGTATTTCAAGGCCTGGATGGTACGAAAGAGTGCAGACCCTGCCCTCGGCCAGGGTGGGGGTGGTCAGGGTCACAAGTCCCAAGGTCTCCAGGAAACTTCAAGCCCCGAGCCTGCCGCCTTGGGGTTACAGAGTTCGGGCCTCCACATCTCCAGGGTGTCTCCACTCTGCAAAACTCTAGAGAGGGGCAGAAGTGCGTGTGGGGTGAAGACTTGGGAGGGTTAAGAGGGTTGGATGCGATCATCACAGAACCTTGAGGGCTGTGCTTTCAGATCCCAGCGGGTGATGTGGGAAGAAAATATGTACAGGTCAGGACCCTGCGGAGGGAAGACCTAAAGCGGGGTGAGGGAGGGAGAGATCCCCTAACCTCCCTGGAAGCAGTGGCCTTAACAACACTTCAGAAGATTTTAGACGACCCTCAGCTCTAGGTAGCCCGCTACAAGAAGGTACATCCTCAGGAATGGGGACACTTTGAGCTCAATCTCAGGACGATTAAAAGGGGTTCCAAGCTAGAAGAGGAGATGGTACCTACCGGACATGGGACCTGGACAGGACCCAGACCATGACAGACCAACAGCCAAAATTATTATAAAGAGGCCAGCCTTGGACCCAGTGGGGACTCTCCAAAGATCAAAATAAGAGTATAGGCAGAAAGACAGGGGACCTTAGAAACCAAAGCTGGGGTGCAGAAAGGTGCTGGGGGCTGCGCAGGGAGGAACGGAGTCTGATCTTCGCAGCAGACTCGCTCAAGAGTAGAAAACAGAAGCGGCCAAACTTTGGAGACAGTATCTGACGCTGCACAGGTGAGGTTTAGAGCCACGAGAAGCAGAATCAGTAATCTTAGATTCTGTCCTGAGGGGAACGAGACAGGTCCAGGATTTAAGAATTAAAAAAAAAAAAAGGGGGTGAGCAAGGAAGGTTTCTAACCAAGGTAAGTGGTCAAAACTCCATCCTATGGGAAGGGTAAAGGGCCCAGCGTTTCCCCAGCGCCCACTCCTGGGTATGAGAAACCCTGTCGGGAAGGGGGCGGGGTCCTGGGACCAATGCAGGAGCTGAAGAGGGGCTCCAGCCCCTAAGAGGACATGCTGTGTCTTGCGGTAGTCTCACGGCCCTGACTTCTCCGCCTGGACAGTGGCAGGACGCTATCCGGAACTGAGGGGACCCTTCGGAGCAGAGGACTTGCAAACCCCAGCCTGGCGTGTTGGGCGGGGACAAGACCCAGATACCAGTCCTGGCAGCCCTGCGGGCGGGTCAGCGCAGACACTCCCCCTCCGACACACACCGACCAAATACCAGGGACTACGGCTCGGGAGCAAGAGGGCAACGAGAAGCTCAATCCGTCCCGCAGCCTGGGGGGACGGTGCCTCAACCAGCAGGCGCGGCCCTGGCCCAGCGCCTGGGGACCCGGACCCTAAAGGCTCGGGCTGGGTGGGGGAATCCTGCCTGAAGCTGGGGGAGCGACCCCCGGCGCGAAGACCCCGGAGAGGCAGGAGGGCCCCGCCCCCGGCCTCCCCGCCCCCCCGCCCTCACCCTGAGCCCCGGGGTCGGAGTCTGGGGGCCGGGACGGCGAGCCGCGGGCGGGCCGCGCTGTGGGGCCCCGGACGGAAGGCACAGACCTGGACCCGCGGCCCGGCGCCCGCCCTTTCGCCCACTTGCCCCAGCCGGCGCCGCCGCCGCTCACTCACTTTGGCCTCCACCAGCTCCGCCGCCATCTTGGCCACCAGCGTCCCCCGCGCGGGGAGCCCCCAGCCGTCGCGTCACGTGACCTCCCACCACTCGCGGGCGGGGCCGCCGCCCGGGCCAATTAGCACCCGCGCGAGCTCCTCCCGCCGCCGGCGCGCGCTGCTGCGTCCTGCGCAGGCGCGCACGGCCGCCGCCCGGGCCTAGGGCCAATCAGGTCCGCCCTACACCAGCCCCTCCCCGCTTCCCTCGCCTTCTCTAGCTCACGGCGACCACGCCCACCCCTGACGGCGTCTGACTCCTTAAAGGGGTACCAGCTCTGCACTAGTGGGAACGGGTGTGGGTCGCCTCGAGGGAGGGAGGGGGCGGTGGCAGCGACGACAATGCAGCCAGGTGCCGCGGCTCCTTCCGCCAGGTGCGTATCCAGGCTCCCGGCGGCGTCGGGGAGAGGACGGTTGCTCCGCCGCAGCGACCGCCAGCGCGTGCAGTGCGGCGACTTGCAGCGCAGCGCGGTGCACGTTCCACGGGCCCCGACGCCCCGCGCGCTGCACATCCGGGTCCTGGCGTGCAGACGGGGCGTGGGCTCGGCACCCTGCGGGCTGGCGCTAGGCGGGGAAAAGCCGGGCCGCGGCTCCCAAATGCCCCGGAGCTCGTGCAGCTCTCACCTGTTTATAGGCGCCCCCTCCCATCCTGCTTCCCCACCTTTAGGAAACCCTGGAATCTGTACCAGCTGCGGATTTCAAAGCGCTCCTTGGCTCCCTAGTGCCCGTAGAAGTGAAGTTCAAACTTCAGTAATCAACTATTTTAGTGCAATTTATTTTTTAATTTTTGTAGAGACGGGGATCTCATTATGTTGTCCAGGATGATTTCGAACATCTGGGTTTAAACGATCCTCCTGCCTGGGCCTCCCAAAGTGCTGTGATTAAAGGCAGGAGTCACCACACCTGGCGAGTCCAACACTTTTAACATTTAAAAAAAAAAATCTATACAAAAAAGTTAATGATGGATGAAATATCAATATTTTTCTTTTTTTTTTTTTTGTTTTTTGTTTTTTTGAGACGGAGTTTCACTTTTGTTACCCAGGCTGGAGTGCAATGGCACGCTCTCGGCTCATCGCAACCTCCTCCTCTTGGGTTCAAGCAATTCTCCTGCCTCAGGCTCCCGAGTAGCTGGGATTACAGGCACGTGCCACCATGCCCAGCTATTTTTTTATATTTTTAGTAGAGACGGGGTTTCACCACGTTGACCAGGATGGTCTCGATCTCTTGACCTCGTGATCCACCCGCCTCGGCCTCTCAAAGTGCTGGGATTACAGGCTTGAGCCACCGCGCCCGGCCGGTAAACACATTCTTTGCTGCTGCTGTTTGGAAATAAGGTCTCTGTCTCCCAGACTGCAGTGCAGTAGCTTGCTGATGGCCCACTGCAACCTCAACTGCCCCGGCCCAGGTGATCGTCCTTTGTCAGCTTCCTGAGTAGCCGGGAGTACAGGTGCACGCCAACATGCCGGGATAATTTTTGGAATTTCTTTTTCTTTTTCTTTTTTTTTGAGATGGAATTTCGCTCTTGTTGGCCAGGCTGGAGTGAAATGGCTCGATCTTGGCTCACCACACCTCACCTTCCAGGTTCAAGTGACTCTCTTGCCTGAGTCTCTCAAGTAGGTGGGATTATAGGCATGTACCACTACGCCCAGCTAATTTTGTCGTTTTAGTAGAGATAGGGTTTCTCCATGTTGGCCAGGCTGGTCTTGAACTCCTGACCTTGTGATGTACTTGCCTTGGCCTCCCAAAGTGCTGGGATTACAGGCGTTAGCCACCCCACCCGGCCTAATTTTTGTGTGTTTTGCAGAGATGGGGCTTTGCCAAGTTGCCCAGGCTGCTCTCAAACTCCTGAGCTCAAGTGATCCTCCCAAAGTGCGGGAATTGTAGACATGAGCCACTGCGCCCAAACTATTCTTTGGTTTTACTCTCTTCAGCCTTTCTCTGTCTATAGAGCCAACCTCCTCTGTGCAACTGATTGGAACAATTATCCTATTTTATGGAATGAAGTGTAGCAAATTGCAGTGAAGCCAATTAAGGTCCTTAAATTTATTGAAGTTGTTCATTGACAGCTGAATATAACTGCCATGACACATGTGAGTCTCATGTCACCCTAATTCTGGCCCTGTTGATTGTGCCGGGGATGGGGTTTGGTTTTTGTTTTCATTTTCTTTTGTTTTGAGATAGAGTCTCTGGAGGCATTCAAGAAAGGGCTGGGCTGGGAGTGGTGGCTCAAGCCTGTAATCCCAGCACTTTGGGAGGCCAAGGCAGGCAGATCACGAGGTCAAGAGATTGAGACCATCCTGGTCAACATGGTGAAACCCTGTCTCTAATAAAAATACAAAAATTAGCCGGGCGCGGTGGCTCAAGCCTGTAATCCCAGCACTTTGGGAGGCCGAGGCGGGTGGATCACGAGGTTGAGAGATCGAGACCATCCTGGTCAACATGGTGAAACCCCGTCTCTACTAAAAATACAAAAAAATTAGCTGGGCATGGTGGCACGTGCCTGTAATCCCAGCTACTCAGGAGGCTGAGGCAGGAGAATTGCTTCAACCTGGGAGGCAGAGGTTGCAGTGAGCCAAGATTGTGCCACTGCACTCCAGCTTGGCGCCTCACGACAGAGCAAGACTCTGTCTCAAAAAAAAAAAAAAAAAAGAAAGAAAAGAAAAAAAGGAGTTGGGGAGGTGGAAGGGGAAAGATCAAGTAAATTTTAAATTTTAAATTTTTTTTAAATTTTAGATTTGTAAATTTTAAATTTTTTGAATTTTAAATTTGTAAATTTTAAATTTAAAAAATGTTTAATGACATTTGGTCCCCCCCTTTTTATTTTTTGAGATGGAGTCTCGCTCTGTCACGAGGCTGGAGTGCAATGGCGCGATCTCAGCTCACTGCAACCTCCTGGGTTCAAGCAATTCTCCTGCCTCAGCCTCCTGAGTCCCTGGGATTAAAGCCGCACACCACCACACCTGGCTAATTTTTGGTATTTTTAGGAGAGACGGAATTTCATCACATTGGCCACGCTGGTCTCAAATTCCTGACCTTAAATGATCGGTTTGCCTCGGCCTCTCAAAGTGCTGGGAATACAAGTGTGAGCCAACGTGCCTGGCCAGGTTTTTTAAATTATAAGTTCTATTTGTTTTGGTGAAGATTCACAAGAAGTTGCAAAAATAGTAGACAACTTTGTGCACCTTTCTCCCACATTCCCCCAGTGATAACATTTTACGCAACTGGCCAGATCTGGTGGCTGACACCTGTCATCCCAGCACTTTGGGTGGGCGAGGTGAGTGGATCACCTGAGGTCAGGAGTTTGAGACCAGCCTGGCCAATATGGCGAAACCCTGTCTCTAGTAAAAATACAAAAATTAGCAGGACGTGTTGGTGCCTGTAATCCCAGCTACTTGGGAGGTCAAGGCAGGTGAATTGCTTGAACCTGGAAGGTGGAGGTTGCAGTGACCTGAGATCATGCCATTGTACTCCAACCTGAGCAAAAGAGGGAGATACCATCTCAAAAAAAAAAAAAAAAAAAAAAAAAAAAATTGCTGAGCCTGCCTCTAGAAACTGCCAGACCAAGGTGTTTCCATGTTAGCTGCTTCCCCATTGACCCCAGTTCTCTGATGATGAAAGCCAGGATCAGATGGGAACCACCTGCTCAGGCCCTGGCCAAGCCACTTAAGCCACTTTTTTCTTTTTTTTATTAGAGTCCCACTCTGTCACCCAGGCTGGAGTGCAGTGGCATGATCTCTGCTCACTCTAATCTCCACCTTCCGGGTTCAATCTAATCTCCTGCCTCAGTCTCCCAGGTAGCTGGGATCACGGGTGTGTGCCAACACACCCAGCTAATTTTTGTATTTTTAGTAGAGGCAGGGTTTTGCTATGTTGGCTAGGCCAGTCTCGAACTCTTGACTTCAGGTGATGTACCTGCCTTGGCCTCCCAAAATGCTGGGATTACAGGCGTGAGTTACCACTCCTGGCCTTTTTTTTTTTTTTTTTTTTTTTGAGACAGAGTTTCGCTCTTGTTACCCAGGCTGGAGTGCAATGGCGCGATCTCGGCTCACCGCAACCTCCGCCTCCTGGGTTCAGGCAATTCTCCTGCCTCAGCCTCCTGAGTAGCTGGGATTACAGGCACGTGCCACCATGCCCAGCTAATTTTTTGTATTTTTAGTAGAGACGGGGTTTCACCATGTTGACCAGGATGGTCTCGATCTTTTGACCTCATGATCCACCCGCCTCGGCCTCCCAAAGTGCTGGGATTACAGGCTTGAGCCACCGCTCCTGGCAACACCTGGCCTTTTCTTAAAAAATTTCTTTGGCCGGGCACGGTGGCTCACACCTGTAATCCTAGCACTTTGGGAGGCTGAGGTGGGTGGATCACCTGAGGTCAGGAGTTCAAGACCAGCCTGGCCATCATGGTGAAACACCATCTTAAAAAAAAAAAAAAAACATTTCTGCCTGCTGGTGCAAGCAGTTCTCCAGTTCAGCCTTCCCAGTAGCTGGGACTACAGGCACCCACAACCATGCCCAGCTAATTTTTTTTTTTTTTGAGACGGAGTTTCGCTCTTGTTACCCAGGTTGGAGTGCAATGGCGTGATCTCGGCTCACCACAACCTCCGCCTCCTGGGTTCAGGCAATTCTCCTGCCTCAGCCTCCTGAGTAGCTGGGATTACAGGAACGCGCCACCATGCCCAGCTAATTTTTTGTATTTTTAGTAGAGACGGGGTTTCACCATGTTGACCAGGATGGTCTCGATCTCTTGACCGCGTGATCCACCCACCTCAGCCTCCCAAAGTGCTGGGATTACAGGCTTGAGCCACCACGCCCGGTCAATTTTTTGTATTTTTTAATAGAGACAGGGTTTCACCATGTTGGCCAGGGTAATTCTGGATCTCTTGGCCTCATGATCCGCCCACCTCGGCCTCCCAAAGTGCTGGGATCACAGGCGTAAGCCACTGTTCCCGGCCCTAATTATTGTATTTTTTGTTTCACCATGTTGGCCAGAATGATCTCAATCTCTTGGCCTCATGATCCCCCTGCCTGGGCCTCCAATCTCGTGTATTTTCAGGTCATGGTATTATTATTATTACGCTTTTATTTGAAGATTTAAAAGATAAAGAAGGCTCGGGACTATGAGTCATGCCTGTAATCGCAGCACTTTTGGAGAGCCTGGCGGAAGGATTGCATGAACACAGGAGTTCTACATCAGACTGAACAACATTGAGACCCTGTCTCTGCAAAAAATAAAATATGAACTGTGCATGGCTCATGCCTCGGGAGGCTGAGGC